TGAGATGGGCGCACAACCCTAGAGTCGGACACGACTGGCCTGTACGGGCAGGGGTACCTTTACCTTGTGTATGGATAGGGTGAGTCTGTGACCTGGATTCAGGAGCTAAAGTATTAACCATCACAAAAAATTGCCTGACTGCCCAGGTAATGCAATCAGTGACCATTATGAGTTATCCTGTCAGACAGGATTTTCATTGTAGACCGCCTCCTATGATGTATGTATGATGTTTTTGAGGTGGTATTTGACAAAGAGGCTTGGGCAATGTCAAAAGTCTTTAAAGGCTCTTGCACACTTTTGTTAAGGGTCTCTCCCTACTTGGAAGGAGGGGAGGGAACTCTAATGCAACAGAAAAAAAATAAATATCTGCCTTGCTTTCCACTGGATCCAGCCTCCAACCTTTCTTCTCTGACTGATCATGGACTTAGGGGACTCAGAGTCCCATGGAGAGTTGGGCAGCAAAAGCCAAAGCCCAATTTTTACATCAGGGGTCAGCAAACCTTTTCAGCAGGGGCCTGGTCCACTGTCCCTCAGACCTTGTGGGGGGCTGGACTATATTTGGGGGAGGGGGGATGAACGAATTCCTATGTCCCACAAATAACCCAGAGATGCATCTTAAATAAAAGCACACATTCTACTCATGTAAAAACACCAGCCAGGCCCCACAAATAACGCAGAGATGCATTTTAAATAAAAGGACACATTCTACTCATGTGATAACACGCTTATTCCCAGACCGTCCGCGGGCTGGATTTAGAAGGTGATTGGGCCGGATCCAGCCCCCGAGCCTTAGTTTGCCTACCCATGTTTTACATCATGTCCTATTGTGTTTTTAATAATCTGTTGTGAGTTCTCCAGAGTGGCTGGGGCAACCCTGCCAGATGGGCAACTTATTATTATTATTATTATTATTATTATTATTATTATTATTATTGAATAGCAGTGGCTGGAAACCACAGGAGTGGGGAGCTCTTACTTCTGGGCTTCCCTTAGATATTGGGTTGGTCACAGTGAGAAGATGTCATTGTTCTGATCCAGCAGTTTCTTCTTATATTTTTAATTGACATGGTTAACGTAGGTTCATTAATCTACTCTGACACATCCCAAAGTTGTGGCCATTGAAATTTATTGACTTTACTTACTGAAATATATTTCTTTCAGTGGGTATTCTAAGAGTATGTCCAACACGGGATATCTTCCTAAATCTCTCATCAATAATAATAATAATAATAATAATAATAATAATAGTCCAACTTCTAAATTAGAAGCACCAGTCATAAGGGAGAACGACATATTAGTTATCTCTTCAAGCAGACATGGAACAAAAAGAACAAAATTCATACTCTGAAACATCAATTAGCTTCTGAGAAGGGTGCTCCTGGAAGAAAAGTTCCTCAGACATGTAAATGATATGGGAAGCAATTTCACCTATGAGGATGCCACCTGGCTGATACCACTCATGTGGAATAGGGAAAGGATCATTTGCAGGACATGTTTTGCATTCCCTTTTAGGCAACAGAAGCAGGAACACAATGAACCACAGCATCCTGGCAGCAAAGCTCCTCTTTCACTGCTGGCTCTCCTGTGTCTTATCTAAAGCAGCATCCTGGCTGGAACAAGATAAACAGACTTTGCATATTTACTTCCAAAAATGAAACTCTGCGGTCTTACTTTCAGCATCCAAAGAGTTTCAGATGCATGCAGGGATGGCCAGCACTCTGATTTGAAGCCTTAACTAGTCACATGGACGGCCAGTAAGAAAATTGCAGAGCCCTGTCAGCCTCTTGTTCCTTCTCCCAGCTTCCAATAATGCTTATTTCTGTGCTTTCTGGAAAGCCCTGGAGGTTTGGCCAGATGGATAATTGCAGGGGGTGATAATGATACCTGCAGGACTGAATCTCTGAGTAGCACTCTGAACAGAAAACATGCTGGATCCTCCCCACCTGCTGATTGCAGCACAAGCCTGCTCTGTCCCTTAGTGAGACAAGGAGTGGCTACCAGGCTGTGAAAAAATCAACAGGAAAAGGAGGCCTTCATACAGGGGTGGTTAACCTGTGACCCTCCAAATGTTGCTGGACTACATCTCATCATCCATGACTGACTATTTACTATTCTCACTGAGTTTGATGGAGCAATTGGACTATCAGGAAGTAAAACATTTTACTGCTGGGCAGCTTCCAACAAAATATTAAAATACATTTCTGGGAAGGCTCTGGGGCTGTAGCCTGGTTATGAAATTATAGAGATACCTTGGGTTACATATGCTTCAGGTTACATACGCTTCAGGTTACAGACTCTGCTAACCCAGAAATACTGCTTCAGGTTAAGAATTTTGCTTCAGAATGAGAACAGAAATCATACTCCGGCAGCAGGAGGCCCCAGTAGCTAAAGTGGTGCTTCAGGTTAAGAACAGTTTCAGGTTAAGAATGGACCTCTGGAATGAATTTAATACTTAATCCAAGGTACCACTGTATAGCGGATTAGATAATTGAAAGGGGAGATGATTCTTTTGTCAGAACTGAGGGTTCATCCATGCTTTGTCTTCTCCCGCTGCTCTCCCCTAGGGAAAAACTGCTCTTTAGCATTCAATTGGAGCAAACAGAAATTCAGGTTTCTCCTGGATTATATTTTGCTTCATATTTTGCTTAATATTTTCCATGGTTTGGAAAGTGAAAAAATAGATTACTTTTCATTAAAATGCAAACAAAATCATATCCCACACACATGAACACATTTCTGGCTGTGATTCATGGTCCTGGTTGAAGAGACTTCCTTATTCAGCCTTTTGCTTATTAAGTAAGGTGACAAATTTATGGGCTGAACTTTTCAAAAGGACAAAATAAAGGGAGGTTTCTAAGGAAGTGGAATAAAACCAGATACATGAGGTGGACCCATTGAAGATCACTCCAGAAAGGAACATTCAGGAATGCTCTGTCTTCATTTTTGAAGCTATGAAGCAAACACAACACCCTATAGATAATTATTTTGATGAACTCTAATTGGAGGCACCAAGAATTGAACATGTCTCCATTTTTTGTATGTCAAGCATGTGCCCCACCAGTGAGCATTTCCCTCTGTGGACGGAAGGAGTTCTGCTACTGTCCCAATGAGGAAGAGATATGTAGTGTAACTTCGTGACTTCCCACTGAGAAAGCCAACCCTACTATTTTCAGACCAAAGTAAAAAATAAAAATAGAAATTTATGCCATAATAACATGATTTTTGGAGGTGTGTTGTCTTGCATGTGTGTGTTGGAGGTGTGTTGTCCAGGATGTATTGGACGGCTTATCATCAGTCCTATTTACCATTATCTCTTGCTGCTAATTCACATGGGAGGGGGAAAGACTGCCAGACATTGCTTGACATTGCTGGACTTTGCTTAGTGCCATGATGGTGTTATTCATACCTTTTGAAGGCTTTAGCCTAGAATGAGAGAGAGAGGGAAGTGCATGACCTGCTACATCAATAGCGTAGTAAGGAAAAGCCAGGAATTTTAATAATAATAATAATAATAATAATAATAATAATAATTCATAAGTACTTGAAAATGTCTTCCAATATTTTATTTACTTATTACAAATATAGATAGATTTTTCAAATAATACTTCTCACAATTTAGACAAAACACTCACAAACATATAAGTCATAAACAATGTTACAAACAAAGAGCTCATCACAGCAGAGGAAGGAGTTTGGGATGGAATTAGGCTTTCCAGGCCTCTCTATGTTCCTAGGTCACACTCCTCACTGACCCAACTCAGAACCCCAAACACTTTTGCCTTTCTGCATTTTACCCTTGAAGTCTAATAAGTCCTCTTGCTTATATGGATGGAGGATAGACAGCAGCCTAAAAGTGTGTGTAGAAAATAGCCTGCTATACAAATATCAAAATAATAAAATATGTGTTTAATGTGCATAAAATGTAATGTTTGTAGCATTTTGCAAAAACTGGAATGCATTTCTAATTTAAGACAGTTTTGCAGTAAAACTTATTTGAACTCATTCTTGTGGTGGAGCCTACTCATGTCTAGTCTGCAGAGGGTCTAAATCAAGGAATTCAGCAGAAATAATTAATGCAAGTGGCTATGAGATGTTTGGGGATGTGGTCCTTGCAATGCAAATATTTCCCCACTCCTGAAAATTGCAATATTAGAAAAAACCAGCACAAGCTATTGTGACTATGCCAGAAAAGAAAAGAAAAAAGGGCACTGAGTAGCCATTAAATGCAGCAGTAAGAAGAGAGGCATTTTGGGGGGGGGGGGGGGTGTTAGTAACTATGGTGTAGAGGTAAGGATCTTGTAGAGGAGGGTCTTCTCATCTGGGTAGCCCAGAAGCTCTATATACACTGTCCAGGCTTCTGCCCCAGAGAGGTCACTTTCGTGCTGCAAAGACAGCAAAAACAATGAGGGAGGCAACAACCAATCCCCTCCTAGCAGAAGGAAAACAAGAAGGGAACCAATCTAACTTCTCAATGCCAGAATTTCCAAAGACTGTGAGCAGCCACCAAGAAGGCCCTGAATGGAAAAGTAATGTATTTGCTCCTACAATAAATATCCAGGTGGGGAAAGAGAACTATATTATTATCTTTTCCTTAGTTGCTCCTTGCTGTTAAGCTCTGGCCTGAGCAAAATTATGTAGCATTTCGGCGAAAATATGCAACCCAGTAAACCAGCACTAGAGACCAAAATGGAGAAAATCTCCACAGCCACCATGTATTTCCCTCTGGTACTCAGGTAAGTTGGAAGGAATGAAACCCACACACTGCAAAATGCCAACATGCTGAAGGTAATGAACCTGGCTTCATTAAAACTATCAGGTAACTTGCGGGCTAGGAATGCCACAACGAAACTAGCAATGGCTAGGAGGCCCATGTAGCCAAGGACACAGTAAAACATGGTGACTGACCCTTCATTGCATTGCAGAATGATTTCTTCTGTTACCGAGAGTATGTCTAAATCAGGGAAAGGGGGAGACGTTGCTAACCACATAGTACAAATACAGGCTTGAATAAGAGAGCAGGAAAGGACAATAGAGTTGGACAGGTTCCCCCCCACCCATTTCTTCATTCTGGATCCGGGCTTTGTGGCCATGAATGCTAAAGAAACAATGGTAGTCTTTGCCAGCACGCAAGAAACAGCCACTGAGAAGACGATGCCAAAAGATGGCTGACGAAGAAGACAGGTCACTTTCCCAGATTTGCCCAGGAACATCAAAGATGAGAGGAAACAGAGCAAAAGGGAGACCAGGAGAGTGTAGGTGAGGTCCCTGTTGTTGGCTTTGACAATGGGGGTATCTCTGTGCTTAATAAAGATTCCGAACACCCACACTGTAATCAAGGAAAAAGAAATAGCAAGGGAGGCTAAACTGATCCCTAAAGGTTCTTCATAAGACAGAAAGCTTTTTATTTTTGGGTTGCATCCGTCTCTCTTCATGTTGGAATATTGATGTTTTGGGCAGTTCAAACAGTAGCTCATGTCTGAAATATAGAAACAGATCTTATTTTGATTCGAATTCATTAATAAGTCATGGATATTCACAGCAATCAAAATTGTATCTTTACTCAGACATCCCACTAAGTTAAGTGGGTTTTCCTTGTGTCAAGAAACTTTGTCTAGGTTTGAATGCTTCTTGCACTCTTAATTTCTGAAAGATTTCTGGGACCAGTCTGATTCCAGGACTGACTGGCTAGCCAGGGCACTATATTGTAACAAAGATAATTTAACTATTGAAAATAGTGTTCCAGAATTATTCTGAATTATTCAACCCCGTACAATGGAAAAAGTCACCTACCAATCTGGTTTGAAATCTTCCCATCAGGGCATTGCTCACAGTCATAGCAGCAAAATTTATCCCCTTCCTTCCTTTTCTTCTGATAACCAGGGGGGCAGTAGTCATTACACACAGAAACAGGAAGCATCTATCAATAAACAGGAAATGTGTTTAGAACTGAACTTTTTAAAAAAACACAAACAAACAAACATCAAAACGTAAGTAGTCTGAGGTTGTCTTCCAGTTGAGAAAAGTGACTGGCGGGGCATAAAAGATTTGCATCTAGATCCCACTGAACCCTACTATATATTTCTTCAAAGTGTACCCTAACTTCCCACCTGGTTAAATGTTCTGTGCCACATTATTATATCTTCATTAATGATGAATTCTTTTCCTCCGAGGTCTTTGGGATGCACACTTCCAGCTTTCACTCTCTGGAATGACCTGTTTTTATATGTGACTATGTTCACAATGTCAAATCCTCCTTCTACTTCCCTTTCATCATTGAAGAACATTGCTTCTCCAACTGAGTTGTTAAAAGAAATGCCTTGAAGAAATGGGTAGAGCTAACAGAAAGAAGAAAAACAATAAATTCCAAAGAGATAATAATATTTTGGAGACTTCAAACAAATATTTTATGACAGGTATTTTGCACATGAGCTGTAGATGACACCTAGCTCAATTTCTCAGTTGAGACCAGGAGAATTTGGAACATGCAACAGGCCTCTGTGATCTACTTGACAAGGGTGAATAAATGGAATCTGAATCTTGATAAGGTATTTCCACCTTTATAAGTAGGATGGGACCCTCATACATTCACTCTTAGAGACCTGCACAAGCTGCCAATTTGTTTCCATCTTGAACTTGAGTTTTTATAAATAAGATGGAAAGCGATAAAGATCTTTGGACCCAGGTCCTTGAGGAACACCCTCTGCCCATTCAAGTTGTTTGTGTATGCCTTTGCAATAAGTTCCTGATTTAATATGCATTGGCATTTTGCAATAGTACATTCAGTGAAATGATAATAATGAAAACAAACGAACTTTGAGACACTACCTGCCAAGGCTTGAGATGCTGAAGTTCAGATTTTTTGCTAGCCAATATTCCTTTGTGATTGGTTCTGGATGTGTCAATAACATGCAGTGCATGTGCTACACTATACACAGCATTGTAGATGCTGTAGCTGTGGCCCGTCATGTGCATTTCAAAGAGAGCATCAGGAAGACTCTCAAGACTTTCCTCTCCCGTACAACTTTTTTCTGTTGGTATGCCAGGATTGGGAAGGGAACAGTCAAATGCTTGCTCCCAAAAATCTTTGAGAAAACCATCTCCTTTGTTCTTGTACGGTTTAATGTTTTGGAGAAATTCTTTGAAGCCTGGGGGGTCTTTTGAATGAATGGTGAAAGAAATGGCACCATCGAACTGCTGTAAATCCATGGTTCTTTGAAGGCCTGATAACATAAAATCAATCTGGGTTGTCATAATCCACACCTTTCCCAACAACGTGGTTTTTCCCTTGTGAGGGTCTCCCAAAAAAAAGAAAACAGTCATCAGCCATGTAAATGTTAAATTTTCTCCATACAAAATGAAAACACTAACTGTAGTTTTAATGTAATGTACATATATATTTGAGATAATGAAAGGAAAAGCATCTAAGTCCTTCAGACTTGCTTGTTCTGGGAGTCTCTGTGTGAAAGCTGAACATACATTATGCAGGGAAAAGTAGTGTTCCAGGGTCTGCAGGAAATTTTCTCCAGTGGCACCATCTACAACAAAGAGTCCAACCCATGTCCATCCAAAATGCTGAAGTAGCCAGACAATCCCCATATATTGTGGGGCTTCAGTGGGGACCATGCGGTAAAAGGAGGGGACCTGACCTGGATTACTCTCTTCTGGGTGAAATGTGCCATACATGAACTGAAAGAGAATTTACAAACAGAGAGAGTTTAGGACCAGTATTTAAATGCTAGCAGTTTTTATGGAACAAATAATTGTTGAACGAATTTGCAGGCTTAGCAGACATGTTGTTGTTTTGTTTAGTTGTTTAGTCGTGTCCGACTCTTCGTGACCCCATGGACCAGAGCACGCCAGGCACTCCTATCTTCCACTGCCTCCCACAGTTTGGTCAAACTCATGCTGGTAGCTTCGAGAACACTGTCCAACCATCTCATCCTCTGCTGTCCCCTTCTCCTTCTGCCCTCAATCTTTCCCAACATCAGGGTCTTTTCCAGGGAGTTAGCAGACATATCCTCCACTAAATAATATGAAATCTGATCAAGGAAGGAGTGCATTTACATTAGTACTTGCATTGTGCTCTTGGTCATTCTCTACGATAGGTGGCAAACTTTATACTCCTGGACCTCCACATTTGGACGATGTGACCCTTTTGTCCAAGCCAAGCTGACCTGCTTTTCACAACGGCCTCCACTAAGTTTTCTGCAAGGCATACATAGGGCAAAAAAGCCACCTGATGTCACCTGACAAACAGGGCCCATGTAGAGCAGGGGAGATAGTGATCTAGTCTGCTTCCCCACTCCATGACTTGGAAGGAGAACATGTGTCACATGGAACAACCTCTTCATGGGGAGGATTCCTTCTCAATTTTGCAAGAATTGTCTCCTCAGTTCTAGAATACATGGTAGGTTCTCTGAAACAGGCAGTTGCTATGCAACACATAACGAGAAGTGTGACTAAGAGGACATGTTTAACACACACATCCCTGCTTCCTCCACCACCTTATTAACATCACATTGGCATACAAATACTTAAATAGGGTAAGGGTAAAACACTCTTCCACAAGGATTTTCTCTTAATTTTAGTCCCTCCACCATTCACCAGACATTCAGAATCACCAGAACACTCACAGAACATCAGTTACTGACCCATTCAAGTATCTTGCCTGTGGTATCTTGTAGAGACTTAAGATGTTGTCCATGCGGAAGGTAGTATCAGAGCCAAGTCCCCCAATAGCAACAATGGGGTTTTTATGGGCATCACATTTGTAATTGGGGGGAAAGCTGTGTGGTTTGCAGAACACATCCAGAGTGGTACGGTAGGTCATCATTGCATCAAAGTAGTTGTCATATATGTGGAACCCAAGAGTGACATTGGGCAAGATCTTGGGGTCCTCATTGATCTCATTTACAGCAAATGCCAAGGCCAGGGCATGCTGATAGAATTTTGGCAGAACCCTGCAAATAGAGCTCAATTAATCTTTCACTTAATCTCCAATTTATGTGGAGTTTAAGGACATTCTTTGAGTTGTTACATACGTTTTGCAGCTGATAGTTTACTTTATTCTTCAGGTTAGGCAAGATTAGGTTTACTTAATTTATCTTTGTGTTCTAGAAGGCCATGAAATGATTTACAAGAAGAATAAATACAGTAATAAAAATACATAAGCATATGAAAAACATAGTCAGAGTAAAAGCATTCAATCATTAGTGCTGCCAGAATGTCTGGGAAAATGAAAATGTTATTGCTCGAAGCAGAAATGAAGATAAAGTAGGGGCCAAACAGTCCTCCCAAGGAGAAGGTTCTTTAGATGGGGAGATGCAATAGAAAGCTTATGGTAGAGTAATTTCTTTCAGAATTGTATAGAAAGAGATGCTGTCATAACAGAGGTATTATTTATTTATTTATTTATTTTTAAAGCTTTTAAGAGAGAAGTGATTACAGAAATCCATAAAGTTTATTCATCTTTCCTAATCATGATGGCCACATGGAATCTACAGGATCAGTGACAACATAGTTCTGAATTCTACTTGTTCGAGAACAATATGGGAGAGCAATTATTGTGCTCATATAGTGTTTGGGGCTTTCTGTAGGAACCTGGTTTCCTATTGTGGGAATGCTGAATTAGATAAGATGTCCATGTGCTTACTCCCCCACCCCAATTAGGCATTTAAAACTTAATTAAACACTGTGCTAGTTCCCCAAATTATTCAGGGCCAAGATCTGTGTCAGGAATTCTGTTTCATGAAAATCTGATGCAACCTAAAATCCTCTGCACACTTACGTGGGAGTAAGCTCCATTGGACTCAACGAGGTTTTTGGCTCATTAGACATGCATAGCATACTGCTGAGAAATTGCATACCACTACAATTAAAAGGGTCATTTTTTACAGGAGAACCAACCCTGTGTGTGTGGTACAAAGGACAAGAGATCAAGAAAGAATATTTTTGCACTGAATTAAGCATACATGCACTTTAATTGAGTAACTTCTCACAGGCATAAACAAATCTTTGTGACTGTACTGGGGCCAGGCAACACAAAGAGAAAAAAATAATAATTTCTTACGCCGGTATTTCAAACAGGTCCTGAGAAGGTGGGTGCTTGAATGAAATTTCGTTCAACATACTAACAATCTGAGAAGTAATCCCACCAACGATGAACCCACCTGGCTGATGCCACTGATTTACAACAGGAAAGGGATCACTTACAGGGCAGAGTACATTGCAAATTATGTTAGGCAGCAGAAGCATCAGTTCTAGAAGCCAAAGCATTCTGGTGCCAAAGTTTTCCTAAAAATCCATCAGATGTTAATCAAAAGCAGCTTCTTGAGTTAAAGGCCTGACACCATCAACATGGTTATAAACATATGCCTTGGAAACAAATGGAGGTTGCCAACGCTCTGACTTAAAATTCAAAACCTAACATGAAAGAAGAGGGGGAAAGGGAGAAATTGCATTGACAGAGTCCTGCCTGCATCTTGCTCCTACTCCCATCTCTCAATGGCACAGTAGCTGGTGCATCAGTACTTTCAGACTTGCTCATTGCATGTTTTTTAGTGTTTCCTATGGACGCTCTGGTGATCAAGTCATGGTGGAGTAGATAATTGCAGGGGGAGATAATTGTTTCTTCCTGAATAGCATTTTTAGGTCCCGTTCCCCCAAATACACACACCATGTTGACCTCAAAGAGGAGTGGGAAGTCAGTTCCAAGCTTTTCGATGAGCAAACACCAAAGGGGGGAAATTAAGTCCCAACCTTGATTAGGGACACAAAGAGAGCTAAATTGTACATTGAAGGCTTGTCCAACTCCACCTTGCTCAAGGACATTAGAATAAACATTTTTTTCAACAATGCATTTGCTGTGTAGAATTAACCAGAGCTTAGTGGCAAGAATTTTCAGCTTGAAATGTTAAGGACAGGATGAAAGCGAAATTCTCAAAACAAAGTTTGAGCAGGGAATGGGGGATCTTCATGAGCTTGAGGAGCTAAGGGTTACCAGGCAGTTTGTTATTGTCATCATCACCATGTCTGTCTATCATCTATCTATCTATGTATCATCTATGTATCATCTATGTATCATCTATCTATCATCTATCTATCTATCATCTATCTATCTATCTATCTATCTATCTATCTATCTATCTATCTATCTATCATCTATCATCATCTATCTATCTATCATCTATCATCATCTATCTATCTATCATCTATCTATCTATCATCTATCTATCTATCTATCATCTATCTATCTATCATCTATCTAATCTATCATCTATCTATCATTAATAATAATAATAATAATAATAATAATAATAAAATTTATTTATATCCCGCCCTCCCCAGCCAAAGCCAGGCTCAGGGCGGCTAACAACAATCAAATAATCAAACAATCAAATAATCCAACATTCTAAAACATTTCATTATAAAAATTAATTAAAATCAAATTAATGGCAACCGTTAAGCAAAGTTCTGTGCAGGTTGCCAGCCGAGGGAGTCAGGCTGGGCCCTGACCAAAGGCCTGGTGGAGCAACTCTGTCTTGCAGGCCTTGCGGAAAGATGTCAGGTCCCGCAGGGCCCTAGTCTCTTGTGACAGAGCGTTCCACCAGATTGGAGCCGCAGCCGAGAAAGCCCTGGCTCTAGTTGAGGCCAGCCTAACCTCTCTGAGGCCTGGGACCTTCAGGATGTTTTTATTTGCAGACCGTAGGTTCCTCTGTGGGGCATACCAGGAGAGGCGGTCCCGTAGGTACGAGGGTCCTAGGCCGTATAGGGCTTTAAAGGTTAAAACCAGCACCTTAAACCTGATCCTGTACTCCACCGGGAGCCAGTGCAGCTGGTATAGTACCGGATGAATGTGATCTCGCAGCGAAGACCCCATAAGGAGTCTTGCCGCGGCATTCTGCACCCACTGGAGTTTCTGGGTCAGTCTCAAGGGCAGCCCCACGTAGAGCGAGTTACAATAATCCAGTCTGGAGGTGACCGTCGCGTGGATCACAGTGGCTAGGTCAGGGCGAGAGAGATAAGGGGCCAACTGCTTAGCTTGGCGGAGATGGAAAAATGCCGCCTTTGTTATAGCTGTAATCTGCGCCTCCATAGAGAGGGAGGTATCGAAGATTACACCCAAACTCTTAACGGACGGTGCTGGCACTAATTGCACCCCGCAAGAGATGGGAGTTGCCCCCCCAATCCCATATCGTCCCGTCCCAGCCAGAGGACCTCTGTCTTTGAAGGATTTAACTTCAACCGGCTTCCACGTAACCATCCAGCCACAGCTTCCAAACATCTGTTCAGTGTGTCTGGGGCCGAGTCAGGATGGCCATCCATCAACAGATAGAGTTGGGTGTCATCGGCATACTGATGGCAACCCAGCCCAAAACTCCAGACAAGCTGGGCGAGGGGGCGCATAAAGATGTTAAAAAGCATCGGGGAGAGAATCGCACCCTGAGGCACACCACACACCAAGGAGTGGCGCGATGACAGTTCCCCCCCCAAGCGCCACCCTCTGTCCCCGACCAGAGAGAAACGAGCGCAGCCATTGAAGGACTGTGCCCTGGATCCCCACGCCGGCAAGGCGGTGGTCCAGGAGTTCGTGATCGACCATGTCGAAGGCTGCTGACAGGTCTAGAAGAATCAGCAGCCCCGACCCGCCTCGATCCAGCTGCCTGCGGAGATCATCTGTTAGGGTGACCAGAGCCGTCTCGGTCCCATGACCAGCGCGGAAGCCGGACTGGAATGGATCCAGAGCCGATGTTTCATCCAGAAACCTACCAAGCTGTTCAGCAACCGCTCTCTCAATCACCTTACCCAGGAATGGAAGATTCGAAACCGGGCGGTAATTGGATAGATCTAAGGGATCTAATGATGTTTTCTTTAAGAGTGGGCGCACCACTGCCTCCTTCAATTCCCCTGGAAATATCCCGGTGCCAAGGGACAAATTGATGATATCCCGGACTTCCGGGGTGGCGCCTCCGGAAAATGGCGGAATTCCCTTCGAACTGAAGGGAACCCGCTGCACGGAGGCTTGGGTCCTGCCGCTACGGCGCAGCGGGGACCCTTAAAAACCACAGGCGGAAGAAGCCTGTGGACGTGGGACTCGGCGGGCACCGAGAGCGCTCTCTCCCTAGGCCAGGAGCCCGGTAACGGGCTCCAGAGTGGGAGGTGCGTGGTGCTGTGAGTCGACTGCTTCCTCCGTGCAGCAAAGCCGCACTGCCGTTTTCAGAGAGCGCTGCCTTTTTCCTGGACAATTTGGCATCTAAAACATCTATCCGTGAGTACCTGATCCTGGAAGAGCTGAACTACTCTTAAGATTGGTGAATAAATAAATAACATTGGATTTGGACTTGAAATTGAATTTAATTGGGACTC